GAATTAAATGAATAAATAAATAGTTCTTTTTAAAAAAAAGAAGTCAAGAGTAAAAATATGACCACTTTTTAATCACTCATTTTTAAAAGAATCCTTAAGATATGTAGATAATGGGACACTGCTTGTGTTTCTTTTCAAAATAACACTGAATTATATAGGGCTGGTCCCATGGCGTGGCAATTAAGGGATCCCACATTGTAACCACAGTTTAAGTCCCAGCCCTGGCAGCTTGAAAAACACACCAGGCGTATGTGCCCAAACTCCTGATGGGAGGGAGGGATGGAGGAAGACAGGTTGTGGAGTGACCCCCATGTCAGCAGGTACTTTCTTTCCTGCTGTGTCTGGCAAGGCCATGTGTCCTCTGGCAATTAAAAATAAAATAATAATTATATAGTTATAAAGAATTTTGGGAACCAGCAGTTAGCGTAATGGCTATGTCACTGGACTCCCACGTAGTTGACCGCGGTTCGCGTCCCGGACTTGGTGGCTTAAAACTCACGCCGGGCGTGTGTGTGTGTGTGCCCAAGATCCCAAGAGGAGAATGGAGGAGAAGGGATTGCGGTGTGACCATCCCCCCTGGGGGGTGATTTCTCGCTTTCTGTCTCTATGTCTCTCTCTGTCTGTCTGGCGAGCACACGTGCCCTATAGCGAAAACCTCTTCAAAAAAAAAAAAAAAAAAGGAATTTTTACACAAATAAAAGCATTTTCTACAAGATTTTAAGAATTTACACGGGCTAGGCCAGCCCCATAGCCTAGCGTTAAGGGAGTAGACCCCACATAGCTGACCACATGGTTTGAATGCAATCCCCAGAGGCCTAATACATGCTGGTACATGCGTGTGCATGCCCCAAATCCTGATAGGATGGCGAAATGGAGAAGGGATTGCAGTGTGACCTCGCCACAGTGGGAGGTGCTTTCTCCCCCACACTCCCCTCTCCCCTGCCATGCCATCTCTTTCTCTAGTGAGCATATGAGTCCTCTGACAGTTTAAAAAATTCACATTGGGGAGCCGGCAAGTAGCATGGTGGTTGAGGTGCTGGACTTCCATATGGCTGACCACTCTTCAAGTCCTAGACCTGGCAGCCCCAAAATCTCAATGAATAGATAAATAGAAAAACAAAATTCATGTTGGAACTTTAGAGATGATGATCAGCATGAAACATTTTCACCCTGAAAGCTGTCTAATTGCATTCATTTTTGTTTGGGGGAAGGTGAAGCTGTCCTACCTCTGTCTCTAAGTCACATTTCAGGACAATGTGAAAAAGACTGCTCCCAGACTGAAGTCACAGTGTTGTGAGCTACAACAGCCCAGAGCCAGGGTTTCCCTTCGTATATCTCCTGCATTTGAAATCATTAGTGCTAGAACAATGGAGCATCAATGACAGGGACCCTTTAGGAACTGGCGGAAGAGCCCTTA